TGATCCACCCGCCTCGGCCTCCCAAAGTGCTGGGATTACAGGCTTGAGCCACCGCGCCCGGCCTGAGGTCATCCTTTAAGCAGCAAGTCGGAAGAATCACATATTTGGATGGAATAGGGGAGGAGCCGTTCCCCAAAGGAAAGAGCCAAGAGAGGGAAGCATTCATTCCTCTTAGGCTGTGGAGAAAAAGCCACATTTCACATACAGCGTTCATTGTTCAATCATGCCCATCCCTAGTCCAAAGACACTTTGTGCAAATTAGAAAAATTATCCTTGTACCTTAGGCATTTTTGCTGCCATCTTTCAGAACATCATCATCTTAAGCATACTACTCTACAATGCTTGCAACGTGCTTGGTGCCCAGAACTGTGTAGTGCGCAACCCATGCAACTGAATGTAGCAGCCCTGCCTGCTCATATGTGGTAATTCCCCTCCAATTATTCCAATCCCTCTTATAAAAAGGTCTTGCCCTGTAGAGCTTTGGGCAGTGGTGAGGTAGAAACCAAGGGGTAGAGCCATAAATGGGAATAACGGCAGCTCCCACCCCCTCTTCTCCCGTGCCCACAGACAGGAGCAGTGGCCAGGTGATCATCAGGGTGGTGATCAGCAGCAAAGTGAACTGAAGCCACAGCAGGGCTGGGGGTGATGAGAGGGACCCTGAGGAGCAGCTTTGGGGAGACAGAATGGGAAGGAAATGGGAAAAACTGTTTGCTTTTCCTCCAAACACTGCAAGAAGCAGATGCTTGCCAAGAAGCGGGGGGGCTGGGCAGGTGCTTGGATGACATCAGCAATGAAACTCCAGCAAGAGGGAGCGAGTGTGTGTGGCTGTAGTTGTGGGTGGGTGTGTGTGTGCTTGTGCTGTGGTGTGTATACGCACAGAGGGCACTCAGAGCCTTGTGTCTGTGCGATGTGGCATTTGTGTTGCTCGGGGCACAAGTGTGCCTGTGGGCGCATATAGGAGTCATATGTATGTGCACAAGCCTGCTGTGTGGGTGCGAGTGTGTGTGCGTGTGTCTCTCCAGTGAGTGGAGCTGGAGGAAGAACCACGTGCCGGTGCCCCTCCACTTACCATGGGCTCTGTCCCAATAAACCCATGTGAAGTTGAAAAAATCCTAAATGGGCCGGGTGCCGTGGCTCACACCTGTAATCCCAGCATTTTGGGAGGCTGAGGTGGGCAGAACACATGAAGTCAGGAGTTTAAGACTAGCCTGGCCAGCGTGGTGAAACCCCGTCTCTACTATAAATACAAAATTAGCCAGGCATGGTGGTACATGCCTGTAATCCCAGCTACTTGGGAGGCTAAGGCAGGAGAATCACTTGAACCCGGGAGGTGGAGGTTGCAGTGAGCCAAGATTTCGCCGTTGCACTCTAGCCTGAGCAAAAAGAGTGAAACTCTGCTCAAAAACAAACAAAAAAAAAAAGAAGAAAAGAAAAAATTCTAAATGGAAGTCAGAATTCTCTGCATGGAGAACACCAGTGTCACACCTTGTTTAGGAACCAGCCCTGGGGTCTGAGGCGAGTCTGTGGGGACCACAGGCCACAGCCACAGCAAGGCCGAGCTGGGCGTGAGGCCTGGCAGAAACTTCTGGAACCAGGAGCAGCCTGGCCCCCAGGAGGGGCTTGACTAGGACTAAAGCTGTGTCTACAGGTCTGGGCGGAGCTGCTGTGGGGACAAGGAAGGGCAGCCCTTCCCCAGGCCTCCCTATGCTTCCGTCAAAGGCCGCTCTGACGCGGGCTCAGCTCAGGGCACGGGGCAGCCGCTGGAGCTCTGGGCTGCCGGGAAAGATGGTGGCACAGGACTGCCAAGGCTGATGGATTTGGGAGAACCAGGGCTCAGGGACAGGGCTCCCCTGGGGCTTCTCCAGCCTGCAGCCAGGGGGCACTTCACAGCGGCTCCACTAGGGGTCACCAGAGCTCCAGAGTGGAGGAGCAAGGGGGTCCATCAACCTGGCCCCCAGCACAGTCCTCCCTCAGCCAGGGACAGATGTCCAGCAAGGGGGTGGGTGTGAGGGTGGAGAAGCAACCTCGAGACGCCTGTGTGGTCCAGCTAAACAGCCGGAGGAGGGGGTGTGTGTGCACGTGTGTGTGGTGTGTGATGTGAAGGTTGAGTGTACAGATGGGCATACGCTTGGCGCACATCTAGTGACCGTGTAGGTGGCACTTAGCCCATGTGAACAGGAGCATAAGTTACGTTGTGAAAGTCCATAAACGCACAGGCACGGCTGTGGGGGGGGTGTGTGTGTGTGTGGCTGTGGGAGAGTGTGTGGGTGTGTGTATGGCCGTGGCTGTGGGAGTGTTTACGGGTGTGTGTGTGGGGGGGGTGTGTGTGTGTGTGTGGCTGTGGGTGTGTGGCTGTGGCTCTGGGGGTGTGTGTGTGGCTGTGACCATGGGTGTGTGTGTGGTTGTAGTTGTGGGTATGTGTGTGTGTGCTGTGGTGTGTGTACACACAGATAGGCACACAGTAAGAGTCTTGTGTTTGTGTGATGTGGCATTTGTGCTGCTCAGGGTGGGAGTGCACCTGTGGGCACGTATAGAAGCCATGTGTATGTGCAGGAGCCTGCTGTGCTGGTGCGAGTGTGTTTGTGCATGTGAGCTGGAGTGTGGTAATGGGCATAACAGCAGAGGAGGCGTCCGTGAACATATGAAGGGTGATTTGCACGCGGCTGAGCCTGCGGGAACACAGCTTTTGTGTGGGTGCGTCTGTGAGTGTGCACTCACGTGACTGTGTGAGTGTAAGCCAGCGTGTGCCTCGGGAGTGCTTCTGGAAGTCAGTGAGAATGGAGATTCGAGTGTGAGTTAAGCCTGTGTAAACTGTCGAGGTTGGGAGAGGAACCGCCTATGCGGCTCATACGTGTGCACCCGTGAGTGAGTGTGCGTGTGCCCGTGAGGATGAGTGCGTGTGCCCGGGAGTCTGTCACTCCTAGGGCAGCGAGGCCCCGAACCCAGGCGGTCGCCGGCTGAGCCCAGAGCACACCCGGCAAGGGAAGTGTGGCCGAGGCTCCCACCTGAAGATCGGCCCAGTCCTCAGGTTTCACTCATGACCCTGTGACATCAGCGGCAGCAGCTGTCCTCGCCGGCCCGGCCCCCCAGCCAAGTCCCCCAGAGTTCCAGCCCCAGCCCGAGGTGGGCACGGCCGCTCTGGGCTTGTCAGCAACCGCTCTGCTCCTGTCCAATAGTGAGTACTGCACCCCCACACCCGCCCCGGGCCGGGGACCCCGAGGAGCAGGCCACCCCAAGGGGCCGGCCTCTCTGGCCCCAACCCCAGTCTGGCTCCAAGAAAGTCACCAGTTTGTTCTGGGTACTGCTGACCGCCTGCCCACACGGGGCTCTGTGGCCCAAGCTGGCTCTGTCCCACGGCCCTTGCCGAATCTTCTGGTGCCTGGACCCTCTCTCCAGCCCCAGACTTGCCTCTCTCTGTCCTGTCATCTGTTCCCTCTGCCCCTGCCTGGTGAGCTGTCCCTGTCCTCAGCAAAGTTCCTTGTTCTGGTCACAAACAGCCCACGGGCTAAGACTTGGCTCTGGAGAAGCAGGGGTGACCCAAGGGACACAGAACGGAGCTGCAGTTTCTTTAGGAGAGGGGAGCGAGGAGCCGAAACAGCGACTTTTCTTGGCCTGTTTGTGTGGCTCAGAAGCCGGGTTTCGGAGGGTGGAGGGGAGGAGAGCGCAGGACGCTGGGGTGGGGGGTGCCGGCTGGCGGCTCCTTTGCTCTGCTGAGAACAGGAATCTGCTAGATGCCAGCAGAGGACACATCCAGGCTCTGCCCACGTCCCTGCCCCTCCCCCAGCCCAACCAGCATGGCTGGGCTGTTTTCCTAGAGAAGTCGAGAGCGCTGAGCCCTGCTAGGAAGGCGAGGGGGACATGGGGACAGGAGCAGAAAGCCCAGTTTGGGGGGAAGAATATGGGACCACAGCACAAAGGGGACTCTGAAGGAGTCTGGGGGCGGGGTCTTAGGAGGAGACGCAGGGCCGGAGAGTGGGGTCCGGGGGTCAGAGCTGGGACAGACCACATCCCCCCCCACCCTCCCTCCCTGCTGGGGTGGGCCATGGCTGGTGGAGAAGGCAGAGTGGTCTGAGTGGAGCTGGGGGGACGTAGTTTGGAGGCAGGGAGGGCTGGTTCTACCAAGAACTACCAAGTGCCCTGCCCGTGGCCAGTGGCCTCACTCTGTGTGGCGGTGGTGTGGACAGCTATGGTCGCTGTGCTAGCATTTGGAGGCATGTCACCTGTGCGGGACCATGTAATAAATGCAAGGGCCTTGGAAGCTGTGTCAGGCAGGGCGACTGAGCAAAGGTGAGCCTGGTAAGGGCCTGAACAGCTCCCTGGCCACACGTGCCCTGCCCCTGGGCTCCTCAGCAGCCCTCCCCGTCTCCATCCCTGGCATCTCTCAAGGGATTGTGCTGGGATTCTGGGGGGCTTGGGGAAGGCCACGGAGGGTCCTTCCTAGGTGGCTCCCATCCCAGCCTGGCCCTGCTCATCATTTCTGGTTGGAAAGCAGCCTAGGGTGTGAGCTCAGCCTCTGGGGTCTCCTCAGCTCAAGGCTGATCTGAGTGTCGGTGGAGACCTGCTTCTCTGGCTTTGGTCGCCAGGGTCTCTGCCGAAACCCTAGGCCAGGCCCAGGGAAGCCCCAAGTTTGATCTGAAGGCACGGAACTCCTCGTCATGTGTTGGGGTGCTTCTGACAAGGTGTCTGCCTTTGGGGGGCAACTCTGGCCAGCAGGAAGGAGGACAGATCTGATGGGGGTGGGAGTGGGGACAGTACAGCTTCAGGGCAGGGGCAGGGTTCAAAGAAGGCTTCCCAGAGGAGGCAAAACCAGAGAGGCAGGAAGGGTTGGAACCTACAGGGAGGGTGGAAAGGCTCTCTCCAAAGGGAAAATCTGACCCAGAGTCCCCAGAGAACAGTTTGGGAGAAGGGAGGGGATGCTGGAGGAGGGTGTCAAGGACCAAGAAGGGTCAGGCCCTTGACTCCTGTCACTTCCCTGGGGCCTGAAGCTTGTGCGAGTAGCCATGGCTCTGTCCACGGAGGCCAAGGCCCCCACTCCCGGGGGAGGGAGGTGGCTGGTGCAGGTCGGGGTGGGGGCAGAGGGCAATGGGTCTCATGGGCAGTCCTATGTCTGGGGCAGGTGTGGGCTTCTGAGCAGTTCTGGTGACTTCAGAAGGGGTCCCAGCCCTGCTGTGGATGGGACAGGCCAGGTCTCCCATGGCTCCGTTGGAAGGTGCTCCTTGGGGTGGGGGATCCCAGGCTCCCTGCAGTGCCCTCGCCCCCGCCTTTCATGTGTGCTGGCCCCCGTTCTGCCTCATCAGCAACAGCTATTTTTATTCCCTGCAGTTTTCAGTCAACAGCCCTTGTTGGGGGGATGGGGCTGCTGGAGGAGAGAGAGGGGCTCAAGGAGGCCAGGGACAGTAGGGGTGGCGGGGAAGCCACAGAGCCCTGGAAGGGTCCTCTGCCAGGAGCCCTCTTGTAAAAGGAAAGAATGAAAACCCTATAGTTGCTGGCCCCCATCCTATTTTTGAACTGGATTGTGAAACCAGGCACCCCCACCTACCCCATAGGTGCTTGAAGGTCACGGTTCACCTCCTGATTAAGAGCCAGGGTTTCTTTCAAACGCTGAGGTCCAGGCTTCTGATCCCAGTTTACTGTATAAATACCAGCTGGTGAGTTACTTGTCTCCCCTGTGCCTCAATTTCCTCATCTGTCAAATGGGGAAGATCACAGGATCGGGGTGAGAAGTTAATATGCTCATGGACATGTGAGGTGCCTGGAACAGTGTTTAGCATGTCATTGGCTCCACATAAGTGCTCACCAGTATTATTGTGGCTATTGCCAGTCTGTGACCCCGACATAAAATGTCTCACAGCCGGGGATACAAAAAGGAGAGAGTTACAAGAAGGATGGCTTTGTCCAGCTCTGGGCACCCTTCGGAGCTACGGTTTGAGGGTGGACTTTTTTCCCTATCTGGTCTCCTTTTTTATTTATTTATTTTTTTGAGATGGAATCTCACTCTGTCACCCAGACTGGAGTAAAGTGGTGCAACCTCAGCTCATTGCAACCT